AAAAAAAAAAAAAAACAATAAATAAATAAAACAAAGAAAGTATCCTTCTCAAACAATAAGCTTAACTGCATCAGATAAATAATGGAAAAATTGTTATTCCAGATATAGAAGTCCACCAAAATTTCACACACCAACTAAAAAGATCAAGCTTTAAAATACCCAACTTCTGCAGAAATTAATTCAACCAGAGAAACTGTACGTGATATATCATATATGCATACAAAAAGAAGGTTAAAAGCCACTTTTGTACCCCATATATACCAAAATAATCCTGGCTGAACGGGCTATGCGGACAATGACAGCCGTATCAGGCAGACAATCAGCAACCATTTGCTGCCATACAGATCGTATGCCGCCAGGAGCCTCCCAAAGCGCCAAACTAATCTCAGGTTGAATTCAACATCTGCTTATCAAATTTTTTTTTCCCTGTTTTATTCGGCTTATGGCCTTTATCCGGCCCGCCAATAATACCCCACGTCTCAAACTGCCTTTGTCTAGCTCTTTCTCGCTCTTTCTCCTCCTTTGATTTAGATATGTAGCAATACGGGCAAGAAATTGCGTACTCCCATTCTGGTGACTCCATGTAAGCATCACTCACGGGTTTCTTGCACCCGTAACACAGCTTGTGAGTCCCCTGCACGAGCCCGTGCTCAACTGAGACCCGTTTATCAAACACAAAACACTCTTTGTCCCAAAGGCATTCTGTCTTCGGAACTTCTTCTAGATATTTTAGGATTCCACCTTGCAGATGATAAACCTACCAATATATATATATATATATAACAGAAAACATGTTACTCAAGAATATTGAAAAGTCTCGATATGAAAAACACTCTTGATGCTTCAGTACGGTTCAAAGAAGCCCCATCCAATTTTCATAATGATTAATGACAAATGACCCCTTCATATTTGTTTCGAAATAGTTAGGCACCTCGGTGATTAGGTCGAACTGAAAGGTATTTTTTTTGCAATTAGCACCTGGCAAAATCAGGGATGATCTAACTATAGCAGCAGAAGTTTAACATTTTGATGAACATCATTTGAATTATCAATGAACATATGATGTTGATGCACATGAGGAGAATTTAAAAGAACAACCAATGAATTGCAAACAAATATTTATAAGCAATTAACCAAGACATAGTAATGTGTACTGAAGTGGTAGGTGTCGTGGACCTTCAGTCATTCGATATTCACACTGATCATATGACTTTTTTAGGAACCAAATGTGAAGTGTCAAAACTGTTGTGTGTTGTGGTCAACAGTACATATAGGATATGCTATAAATTATCTCGAGTACACTTTGGTGGGTATTTTGCCAAATAGCATTAATAATATTTGCACTTCATTAGGTGATCTACTGTGTCAGGAGTCCAGACACCCACATAATTGTGCTTATAACTTTCAAGAAAGGTTTTGCTATGAGTACATAATAGAGTCTACAGAATGGTTTGCATACACTCATGTAAAAATTAATTATGTACACATAGGGATTATTCTCCAAGAAATTCGAAGAACATGTGTAAGGTTCTTGCAACCAGGCAATTTTTTTTTTTCTTTAAGGTCAATTAATGACAGTTCAATCATAGTATAGTATGCCTTCAATTAAACCTCAAAACATAAGTTCAAACGGCCAAGATTGATCTAAGAGCACAAACAAGAAAAAGATCCTTACAGTGTCTGCATCACTGATCAATTCATTCCACTCCTTGGAGCTCACATACGTCCCAACTCTTTCAATTGGCGACACAGACAGCGTCCCAAGAGTCACTATCTGCAAACCACGTTCGAAAAAGCTGTAGCTTCTACTCATATTCCAAACTGAATAAACCATTACAAATTGTTCCATTTCTCCATATAATAAATCTACCTCTTTTTCAGCTTGACTCTCACATGGTCCCACCGAAAGGGAGCATCTTCCCCAGCAGCAAGGGCCGTGCTGCTCGTATGCCCAAGGTGGATAGCTTCTTCCTCTGGACTCACAGGCGTCTTCTTCTACTGAATCAAGGGTGGGTCCCACATATGCTCCCATTGATTCCTTCTGGTGCAAGGATAATGCCACCTGAAACACGTTGAAGGTATCGGTTGAGGCATTAATCACAGACAAGGCTTTAATGGAGTAATGTGCAATTAACTATTTGCATCACCAGAATAAATGTGAGTGCGAGTGTCTGATGCAGGGTAGAGGATAAAAGAACAGAAATTCATAAGCATTATCACTCATAATAGCTCAATTCACTTCATAAGGCAGTAACAGTAAGTCATTCATTTCAAGGCCTCACATTTCAGTTCATTTCAAGGACGGAGATGACCCTGAATCAGGTAAGTGCAGCGGTTGACGGCGGAGCTCCTTGCCCACGGCGTGCTCAGTGGACTCCCTTCACGCCATAGAATCGTGCGCCTTGAAACTCTTCAACTGGTGTCCCTTC